AAATAAATTTATTGAGTGTGCAAATTCACAAATACAGAATCTGCAAATAATGAGGATCAATTGTGTTTTCATCACCCCAAAAGAAAGCCCGTACCCATTAGCCGTCATCCCCCATTGGCCCCCAACCCTCCCCAGCCCTGGGGAGCTGGTCCATTCTGCTGGTCATCATTCCTCCAGTGCTTGCTCAATGCCTGGCACGCAATGACATGGGGTGTACTGATGCTTAGTAGATGCTTGTCCAAAAAATGTTAGATGGAGGTCCGAAAACATACAGTTTAATTTTAACCTTAATTTAAAACACTGTAACTTTTTCTGAATATACATCTACTATATGTCCATTATAAGACATATTTTATTTGTAAAATACCAAAAAGTAGAAAGAGAAAAAAACATTTTACCAATTTTTGCTTTTGTGTGTGTGTGTGTGAAGATCAGCCCTTAGCTAACATTTGATGCCAATCCTCCTCTTTTTGCCTAGGAAGACTGGCCCTGGGCTAACATCCGTGCCTATCTTCCTCTACTTTATATGGGACGCCGCCACAGCATGGTGTGACAAGCCGTGCTCTGGTGCGCGCCCGGGATCCGAACCTGCGAACCCTGGGCCGCCGCCGCGGAGCGCGCGCGCTTAACCGCTATGCCCCGGGGCCGTTCCCCGGTTTTTGCATTTTTTCAGAGACAATTATAGATAAATATTTTGGTGTGTTTCCTCCCACGCTTTTTTCTCTCTGAAAAATAAATGAACCAGCTGCCCTGACAGACCATGCAGCCTCAGGATGCTGGCCAGTGCCGCCTCCCCTTGGAGGGTACTAGGGGTTCTGGGGTGACTGTTACACCCCACCAAGTGAGGTAGTCCGGGGTGGAGCTCTGGGCCGTAGGCTGCTCCAGCTGGGGGAGGGGCAGTTTGGTCCAATCTGATGCTGTGCTGGGTCTGTGCTCTGTGAACACAGGAGAGGCAGATGCCCTAGTGGGCTAGGGTCTGGGAGGCTCAGCCGTTGTCTAGGTCTCGGGGCAGGGGTGTTGCTGCACATTCCATGTCTGGGAATGGGAGGGAGGTGGCTCCTGAGCACAGACAGTTCCTGGTAACCTACCAAAACCCCCTCCCCAAGTGACCTGTGCCTGACGCCACCTCACTGCCTTGGGGTCTGACTACCAGCGCCCAACCCAGAGGACCCCGGCTGGTTTCTCCCACCCTCACTGGGCGCTCCTGAGGCATGCCCATCTCTGGCCTCCATTCCTACTCCTGAGGTTCAGGCTGCCCCTCAGTTTTCTTTCCACCCCTTCCATGCTGTGGTTCCTCTGCAGCCCCAAGCTCACCAGATTTGCAGCAACTTGAGTCTGGGATTGCCAAAGTCTCTTTCCAGAAGATCTGAACAGCAAGACTGGCTTTGCCTAGAAACAGTTGTTTGAATCAAAGTGGAAAATTACCGGTTTGAAAAGTTTATAATTATACACCAACAATTCAAAACGGCACTGGTGTGACTGGTCACTTACGAGAAAAGCCTCAAGACCTGAGTAAGTGGACATGAATTTACACCAAAAAAAGAGAGATAAATGGAACAGGCTTAGTTCACAAACTAATGGCAAAAACCAACCTCAGAGAATGATTTAAATGCTAAAGAATACCATTTCATATCTACTAGTACACAAGATGACATTTTAAATGATAAGACCAGTATAGGCAGAGTGGAGGTAGAAGGGATACAATTTTCCATTCTCAGCTGTATTGCAAGTTGAACTCACTCTTTTGGAAAGCATCTGGCCCTAAAGAAGAGCCAAAAACTACTCACATGTTTTGAATAATAACCCACTGGTAGGAACTTCTCCCCAGACACTCTTTCCGTTGGGTGAACACGTTCTATTTCATCTTCCTCGCCATCCACGGACATCGTGTTCGTGGGCAGTGCCTGGGGCAAGGCAAGGGATGTAATGCAGGCTCAGGAAAGAGGGCAATCCTTACACGACATTAAGGGGACAAGGAGGACACAGAACTCCATGTCTGCCGTGAATGGAGCACCAAGCAAACCACACGTCCACACAAAGTGGGATGTGGGCCGTGTGGGGAGAGGCAGACAGCTGATGCAGGCGCCTTTTTCTATGTGGATTCTTTTATTGTACATTTCTGCAGCAAGTTTCAAGAATTTTTTTTTTGCGTGTGAAGAAGACTGGCCCTGAGCTCACATCTGTTGCCAATCCTCCTCTTTTTGCTGAGGAAGATTGGCCCTGAGCTAACATCTCTGCCCATCTTCCACTATTTTGTATATGGGACGCCGCCACAGCATGGCTTGAAGAGTGGTGTGTAAGTCCGCGCCTGGGATCCGAACCTGCGAACCCTGGGCTGCCAAAGTGGAGTGCACAAACTTAACCATTACGCCACCAGGCCGGCCCCAAGTTTCAAGAATTTGCTGTCTTTTCTTATCAAGGTGAGGTTTCAGGCTTGCTGAAACTCACCACCCCTTACACTTGTTTGGACTTCCAATATTTCTCTTCCAGCCCAGAGCCTGACAGTGCACAAAGTTAGGGGCCTTTCCCTGGGCCCCTGGCAGCCCCAGGCCCTGAAGACCCCGTGAGGCTTGGGATGCATTTTCCTCCTGGCTGTGCACCAATGAATCAGACAGAAAACGGTCCATGCTGACTCAAACCTGCTTATTGGAGTACTGCCTGCCTGTCCTCCACATGCACATCTGCACACATCTACACAGCCATGCACGTGCGCACACACATCCATGTACATACACAGCCATGCACACACTCATGTACACACACCCACGTACATACACAGCCATGCACACACTAATGCACATGCACACATTCATCTATACACACAGTCAAGGAGGGCGAAAGGGATAATTCGGCACATGTCTGTGCTGATGGGTTGTAATTAGTATTTGGGTGGTGAACATGATGTAATCTATGCAGAAATAGAAGTATAATGATGTACACCTGAAATTTATACAATGTTATAAACCAATGTTACTGCAATAAACGAAAAATTTAAAACAAAAAAATAAAAAATAAAATAAAAAAAATATACAGTCGGGCCAGCCCCGTGGCTTGGTGGTTAAGTGAGCGCGCTCCACTGCTGGCGACCCGGGTTCGGATCCCGGGCTCGCACCATCGCGCTGCTTCTCTGGCCATGCTGAGGCCGCGTCCCACATACAGCAACTAGAAGGATGTGCAGCTATGACATACAACTATCTACTGGGGCTTTGGGGGGAAAAAATAAATAAATAAAATCTTTAAAAAAAAAAAAAATATACAGTCATGCACACAAGTACACACAGATGCACACACATATACAGCCATGCACACACTTGTGTACACACACATCCATGTACATACACAGCCATGCACACACTAACACACATGCACACACACTCATCTATATACACAGCCATGCATGCATGTGCATACCCCTCTACACAGCCATATACACATGTGCATACCCATACACACATACACAGCCATGTACACACATACCCATGTACACATACAGCCATGCACATATGTGCATGCCCACGTACAGAGCGAATCATGCATTTACATAGCAATTCACAGATATACATGCCATGCGCACCCAGGTACATATGCATGCACTCATACACACGTGTGTGCACACGTGCACAAACACACACGAGGTGTTCCACAATGTGCTGAGAAAGCCAAGCATGACACTCAAGAAGACCGTCTCCTGGGACAAGGTTGGTCATGTTTCCATCATTCCCTGTGGGACCTCATTCCCACCACCCCTCGCGATATGCTTTGGCTCCTACAGAAGAGTCCAGTGGGCAGTTTAAGGCTCAGCTGGCGGGGCTGTAACGAATGCAGATCTGCCTGGGACAAAGACTGTCTCAGGGCAGAGCCTTCCCTGGGGAGGAGCAGGATGCTGTGTGGTCCTGCCTAGAGGTGAGTGCCAGGTGTTGTGCTGGTCCATTAAGACAACGAGCCAAACAGAAAGTCACGACCAAGCCTTTATTCACTTATGACAACAGCACAGCAAGAGATCAGAAAGGATGTGCTGGCTCCCGTGCTCCATTTTCTGCACCTGCGGAAAGGCAGAATCAGTGCCCACAGGATGAGGATGTCTCCCTGCAGAGAGAGCCCCACACAAAAGGCTCCTGCTGTTTTGTGGACTTGAGGCCAGGAGGAGGGGGAGGAGGAGGAGACAAAAAGTACTGAGTAACAAGTCAGAGCAGAGAAGTGTCTTCAAGGCCCCTCAGTAAGGAGACCTTGGCTGAAGAACCTGAGAGGGGTCTTGGCCAAGGGTCCCCCAATAATGTGGCCTCTGAATAGAGATGCCCTGACTAGAAATAAGCCGTGCCCAAGAGCACAAGAGCACAAGAGCACAAGAGCACAAGAGCTGGCTGGGGAGCCTGAGTCCTTGAATGCAGCTATCCTCAGAGACCTTAATACCCTGGCTGGGCACCAAGCCTGGTGTGGGGAGAGCAGCCTCCCCTGCAAGGCCTGGAAAGCCTCTGCAGTCAACTACAGTTGGCTAAAGGCTCCTGCACAACCCTGGCCTCAGGACCTAGTCTTCCTGGAGCCCCCTCTCCAGCGCGGTGAGGAGGGCAGCACAGAGCCCTGGGAGCCAGATGCCAGTGTCCTCCCAAGCCCCCAGACCCTAGCATAGAGACCTTTCCCACGGGAGCAAGCCTCCAGAGCAGAGCTGGGCTGGGAGGAGGGGGCAGCGCCTCCCCTTCCTGCTTTTTCTGGGGTAGCCTGCACCCTACAGAGGCTAAATCCCTTGGCAGGGCAGGGCAGGCAGCGCTGTCCTCACTCTCCCACAGCACCGGGTCCCACGGGCCTGCCCAGGGGCTGTGAAGGAGGCCTGCAGGCCAGCCCAAGTGTCTGTTGAGCACCACATCGCCCCCCTGATGTGACCATGGCTGTGACGGTTGCTGCCTGAGGAAGCCAACCGAGGCCAGGAGGGGGCAGCACCGTTCCTGTTCTTTTGGGCAAGCATGGCCCACCTGCACCTGGGGCAGAGCCAGAGCCACCCCCTGGGTCAGGGGTCGAGGGTCACCGTGAGGCGAGGTCACCCTGCTTTTGCACAGGACACCAGTCTGTGTCTGGGTAGAGCAGGCAGTGGACGGACTTAAACCTGGGAAGGGGGAAGTGGAGGTCAGCACTGTGGGAGGGGTGGGCTGGCACCAGAGCTCCTGTGGGGCCCTGGCAGCCCACTCCTCCCCACTGCCCACTCACCGTGTGGGGTCCTGCTGCAGGCTGAAGCCCCCAGCCACGCTCACCACATTATGTGGGTTCTCAGGACCCCCATAGCTCAAGGTGACCTGGGAGAGGGGAGGAGAGCAAGTCACTCTCTCAGGGCCAACTCCTCTACCTGTCTCAGGAGTCCAGCCAGGAGAGGCCACTCAGCCTCCTGGTTGCCCTGCTGGAGGAGGACCGTGCCTACCACCCCCACCCTGTGTCCTCTGGGGCAGGCTTGGACACAGCACTGAGGATGACATGGGCTGAGAGGTGTGGCCAGCACAGAAGACACCTCAGGAAGGCGGCTGGTGCACGAGCGGGGACTGCAGTCTGGAACTTCCTGCTCAAAGCCAACTCCCCCTTCCTGTGGCCTGGTCTGCGACTCCCATCACCACTCGGACTACTGCCCACTGCCCAGCTGCCCCGGGGCCTGTCCATTTAGGTAAGAACAGCAGCAGTCCTTTACAAATGAGCACCCACATAAGACTGGATGCCCCCACTGCAACGGCAACCCTGGGGCCCAGCAGGCTAAATCCAGGGTCCACAGCAACTTCACTGCAGCACTGGGACCTAACCCCAGCCCCGTGCCAATCTCTCCCTGAACCCTCTCGCAGCCGACAGACCATCTGGGTGACAGGCCAGGCCTCTCAGCGAGTGGGGTGGGGGGCAAGACCCCAAGTCAGGGACACGTGCTAAGGCACTAGGGAGCGCCGGGCCTGGCGCCTGGTGGACCGTACTTGCTGGAGCACGGCGTCAGGCGGCAGCCTCTGCAGGTTTTCCAGGTGGGAGTGGAACAGGGAGGTGTGCAGCAGGCGAGCACCCAGCAGGCCCTCCACGATGTAGCCCACCGTGCAGTCATCCGGCAGCCGCACCCGCTCGGCTGTGCTCATGAAGCTCCCCAGGCTGGGGGCGGCGGATGCTGGTCAGCATCTCCTCAGTCCGAGGCGCCCCCACTGCCTGCCTCCCAGCCTGAGCTGCCGGTGCTCCCACAGCCCCACTCACCTGGCCCATGGGCTCATCTTGAGGGCAAGGCCTCTGCTCAGGCAGAACCCAGCCCCACCGGTAGCGAACCAGAACTTAACAGTGGTCACCTGGGAAGAAGGGAGCCACAATTCAGAGCTTTTCACCCCGACTCTTCGTCTGAATATCATCAGTGTCATTCTTAAGCCAGCGCTTAGTAGCTCCTAACCCAAGTGGCAGAGGCTCCCCAGGGCACAAGGGGATGGGGGCTTCTGCAACCCAGTCGCCTGTGGCCCCGGCCCCTTCTTGCTTGCCAAACCTCTTGAAACGACCACCTGGGTGGATCAGGCACCTGCCCTGAGCCCCTGCCCTTTCCCGCTGGGGTCTCCACGCTCTCAGCTGTCCCTCCTCGGCCCAGCACTCACAGTTCCACTTCCCTGTACCCTCTCAGTAGCCTCGATGGGGTGGTCTAGGCTGGGCCGCCCCAGGTAGACGTCTTGGCTGGGTGAGAAGGCGGAGAGCAGCTGCAACAGGCCTTCGGGGTTCACGTAGTTGTCATCATCCACATGGCAGAACCACCTGGGGGTGATGGGGAAGTCTCGCCAGCGAGGGGCCCAGCCCAGGTGTGTGGGCCCAGCTGCGGCCCTGGGATCTCTGAGGGGCGCGGAGCCGTGGCCACCACATACTTGCGTCCAGACTCGATGAACTTGTCATACTCCACTGACATCTTGCAGCACAGCGCCTGGCGGGTGTGCACAGCCGAGCAGTTGGTGTTGATGACGTGACCGCCTGCCATTTAGAGAAAAGGGGGAAGCGTGAGGGCCGGGGTGAGGCCTCCCCCCAACCTGCCCCACTGAGGTCAGCGCAAAACGACAGGCTGGCCATCTTGCCCTGCTCAAGGCCCCGAGGCCAGGTCCGACTGCAGCCCTGTCTCGGCCTCACTAGGCTGGCCCTGTTGCAAACCTCTGAGATCCAGACAGACGAAAACCCCTTGGAGTCCTGTGAGCGGAAACTCACTGGAAAATGGAACTGAAATGGGACCACCCTGATAGGGACAGGCCTGGAAGGAATGGTTCCCTGCTGGAGCCACTTCTGGGAACATGGCTCCTGCCTGAGGCCTTTGGAAATCTGCCAGCGGTGGAGAGAGGCAGAGCATGGTTGGCAGGGTGGGGCCCTGGACAATGGGCCAGTGGCAAGTGGTCATCCTGGTTCTGTCCTCTACCAGCTGTGTGACTCTGGGCAGATAACTCAAACCTTCTAGGCCATTGTAAACAATAGGGGGATGTATGACACTGGAAAGAGAAATATGTGAGGAGGGGGCCCTTGGGCACCATGGCAGGGCTGGGCCTGGGAGGGCACTCACCTCCCTGAAGCTGTAGCTCAGGGTCATCCCCGTCGGTGAAGATGAACGTCTGGGGAGAGAAAATCTGTGAGGCATCAAGGGGCCCTCCCCAGGGACCCCAGGCCTGGTAGAGCCTTGCCCCTGGTGAGTGAGGATGAAGCAGTAAAGGAGCCAGCAAGTGAGCCTGGGCTTCAAAGCCAGAATCTCAGGATGAGAAGTATGCCCCCAGGCTGGGCTTGGATGCCAGATCAGGGTCAGGGGAGAAGGAAGGATGGTGTCACAGCAACAGCCAGACAACCTGCTACTATCTTCAGCATCTCCAGTGTAGTTGGGGCCAGGCCTGCTCTCACTGGAGGTTTTTGCGGTCTCGGTCGGTGCCAGCTAGGAGAACCTGCCCAGAGCATCACCCCAAACCTGGAGCCCTGGAAAGAGCGGATGCTGGAGACCCTGGGTCCCCCTGGATTCAGGACGCAGGGCATGGCCACCACGCCGGGGATACAGCGACGGGTAGCGGGTACTGGGATCTCTGGGGCGAGGCTCCCGGAGTCAGGGCTCCCGGGGCCAGAGTGCCAAGGCGGGGATCCCAGGGACGGGGGTCCTGAGGTCCCGGGGTCAGGGATCTTGGGGGGCGGGGTCTCAGGGTCAGGGATCCCGGAGACGAGGGTCTGGGGGGTCAGGGGTCCGTGACGGTGTCGCGGGGCGGGGCCCACCTGCCGGCGGGCCCGGGAAATCCAGGTGCGTAACAGCAGCCCCAGGCGCGGCCCGTGGTTCTTCCGGGTGGTCTTGACTGCGATGAAGACGTCGTCCGGCCGCAGGCGGGGGGCGGCGGCGCGGGTACGGGGTGCGCGCGAGCCGGGGGTTGAGGCCGGGGCCG